TGCGTGTGTGTATGTGTTTGTGTGGCAGACAGATTTTTAGAAGGCAACGGAGTCGGTTCGGTGATATTTTTTTGTGCCTATCTACGATCCCGAGAAATGATTTCTCACCAGAACCACTGCCTCCAATGCGTGTATAGATCTATTCCCAATACATCGTCCCCCAGACATACAAACTATGGATGCCAAACAACAACACATACTGCCATCAGAGAGACAGCGTGTCCTTGGACCAGCCCCCCCCCCCTCCCAACCCCTGCCTCTCTCACCGACGTTGCTGTTGTCGTCGCACCAGCGTCGTGCAGTCGTTTTTCATGTTTCCATTGCTACTATTGTTTATTTCCCACCTTTACATCATATTACAATGATTATTTTCACGCGTTGTTTTACATGAGTCACGCGTGTTTTCGTGTGGCACAGTCTGTAACTTACCCCAAAACATGACCCTGGCTAGCAGTTCAAGCTATTATTGGCCACAAACTTTGAGACCTGTAAGTGTGTGGTTGGCGGGTGCTCTGGTGTCGTTTGCTTCTTTTTTCCTGTCAAACATCTATCGTCCTTACCTCCCCTCTTTCTTTTCTTTTGTTTTGTATATGTTTCTCTCTTGTAACACATCTAATCTTCGGCACTTAAATGACCTCATTCTGTTGCAAGTGCCGTAAAACACTTACTAAAACAAAGACCTGCAGAGCTCTCTTACCTTTTTGGATCGGGCATTCCTGAAATTCTGGTTGACTTTTTTTCCCCGTGCTTTCTGTAAGGAATCAGATGTTTGTCAAAAGGAGATGTTTAAATGTAAGTTAGATCATTTAGGACGAAGGCGTCGACCCTGCCCCTAAGGGCTAATCCGGGATGAGAGGGATCAAACGTCCCAACAGAAATACCGAGATATTGGATGAAAACTCTCCGCACTCGGGTATCGAACTCGTGCGTCCTGGTTATGAGTATGACGGCGAAGCGCCTAATGGCTACACTACAGTCACCAGTAATGGGAAAAACTATGTTTGTGATCTCTCTTAAAGAATCAGACGTATGTCAAAAGGACAGTATTTCGGACAGCACAAAAACAATTATTAGTTTGCTGTTAGGTTCAAGATTCTCCCCTAGATGAGGGCCAGATTGTAGATTTCCAGCGGACGAAGGAAAATTCATCCGGGTTTAGGGAATAGAAGAGGGTTGAAGGACACTTTGAAGGACACTTTAAAGAACACTTTGAAGGACACTTTGAAGAACACTGTTCTCAATGTAGAAGAAAGGTTTGGTCCCACAACCGATTCAAATCTCTGCCTCCTACGTGTTGTTTAAATTTGCAAGCCAACAATACCACAGAATCGTTACGGTTTCAATGAAACTCCCGAAAATAATCCCGACCGGGTGAATGATTTTTATTGTTGTTTGAACAATAGTGTTCGGGTGAGTCTAAAATGTTATCGATAGTGGGAAATAGGGGCTTAGAGCGTGCATTGAAAAAGTGTATTAAGTTCATATTTTAGTTTTTTTGTTCACATTTATTATGCATGCACGACTCAAATTGACCCAGCCACGTCAAATAAACTGTTTCAGTGGGTCACGTCTCTCCTGCCTTTGTGGGCACGTCCCTTTTATCTCACCAATCTCTGCTTCGATGTGCAACAGTTGTGGGAGGTCGAAATCGACTAGCTCTGAAAGTCTCTCGTCTTTATCGTATGACGGTGGTATCGAAACTCGATGTCTTTTTCGTGATCTTGCAGCAAACACATTAGTTAGAATGATGGCTAAATATGCTTGAGGACGGGGCTAGTAGCATTTTCAAACAGTAAATTCACCTAAAATGTTCCTCTTGTGTCCGTTCCTTATGATTGTGAGCAGTGAACAGGTTCTGTTTTGCTTACTCCTTTGTCTGGATACATCGAAGAAGTGCCGATATTTTTTGTTTCTGTTTTCATCTTGAACTCAGACTGTTTCTGAGCCCACCTGTGCACTCATAGCCACTACCCCCCCCCCCTTTTTTTTTGGGGGGGGGGGGGTTGGGTCACATTACTTTCTTTAAGAAGAAAAATAGG